CAGAAAAATGAGCAAATGTAGGACTATGGGTGGCTTAACCGTGAAATAATTGATCCATTGCATTCCTTCTCAAAATTCCCCCGCATTGTTATGGGACGTTCACACATGAATGAAAAGAGTCTTAAAATTATTTGAATTGCAAAAGTCAATACCATATATAGATTGTTGGTTCCTACAGCCTACAGATGTATTGAAAGAAGTAAATAAAATTTTATAAGCACAGATTAAAATGAAAATTAGTCAAGAACTTAAGATATATTGAGAACTGACTCATGGTAAAATTTAAAAATAAACTTGACAACAATCACAAGGCCTAATTTTAGGCAGTCAAGGAATCAAGTCGTAATACATTTATTATTTTCCAATTCCAAAGGTTTTTAGCTTATAAAATAATATATATAAAGGTATATTATAGAAAAATATATTATAAAAGCGTTTACTAATATACTGCATTTAACCAACTTATAAATGTATTTAAATATTTGATACATTTTAGACATCCCAGGGATAAGGCCAAAATTGCAATTATGCCTAACATAAAAGGCATGGCCAAATAATGTTAAATAATATCATATAATATTAAATTTTTTATGTTTGTCTAAAATTATGGTATTAAGTATTCAAACGACTTAATTAATCACATAAAACGATGAAGTCTCTAATAAACTGAAAATTTGTAACTTTAAATGTGTTTAAATAAACAATATAAATTTTAGACAATCCATGTATCCAAGGTACATGCCGGCTTTAAATAATCCACATTCACAAATATGGTTCGTAAGGACACAGACAGAGGTGTGTGATAGGCGTGTACTATGTCATGCGTACAAATATAGATTGATCTTTATACAAAAGGATACTGGACTTTGTACTGTACTATCGAACATGCATTTTTCACGTGCCAGCGTGAATAGCTTTATTAACATGACTCAATTATTGTAAATTTGTCAGTTACATTTCCAAAACACAAACGCTGTCATAATGTAATACCTGGCAGAAATGATTCATTACATGGAATTGTTCAGAATCATTAAGTATACTTTGATATAAATTATAGACAAACTAAGAGAAAAATATTTGAAAATCTTTTAGGGACATTATTCAGCAATATTAGGTACATACCAAAATGATCAAATAATATGTAATACATTTGAATTTATTTTTATTATTTCCTTCCACTTGCTTACCAAATTTATTACACCATTGAGTGGGTCAATTGGTGCCAAATATTACCTATTTTGTAACTCTTCATTCCTCCCTTTTTATGCATAAAAACCAGTTTATTATTAATCTTCAATAGATCCTTAGCGACACAGTCTCGTTTTTGTACAGTTAAGTAGCCTAGTTCATGATTTAGTTTTATTGTAATGATAAAAAATAAAGAATATTAATAATACTACAGCGAATACAGAGCGAAACGCCTCCCTATAAACAGTAACTTTCTTCCTTAGGGAGGGATTTCTTCGCGGTTGGGAAATGGTTTAATTTGTAAATCTTCACCCGTCAACCCACAATGCAAGCATTGTTGTAAATTACCAGTAAATACACAAATATCCGAAAACCAATTTGTCAAGGCTTATTTGCTTAAGATAACACAGCTTTACTTAACAATATTGTCACATGGTCATAGTAATTGAATCATCTGAGTTTTAAAAAACTTTTGTAGCATAATGACAGCCAATTGACGTCATAACTTCAATTCTGTGAACTATTTATTCACTGCATACCATCAAATAACCGGAACTAAAGGTCAGAGGAGCTCCAGTAATTTCCCCAGTATTTCCCGAAACAATATGAACCAAACAAGAGAGGTTATATTTGGATAGTTTGGTATTTTATTTTGTTTATTATCACAACATAGGATACGAGTTTTATATTTATGCAAAAGGAAAGATGATGAGATGACCTAATCATATGGCGAACCCCGACCTCTTATTTGGTTATCAGTCCATGCCAAGAAGGTAATTTCAACGGTGACCGTACATTTGAACCCACGTACATTTGAACCCATGTGTATATCCACGGGTTTAATCTATATGCGGGTGCTAAAACTCATGGGTTAGGGTTAGTATGGGTTCAACTATCCGAAAAACAAAAAAAAATCCATAGGTGCAATAGCATACAGGTGCAATTGTCATGGGTTCAAATGTACGTGGGTTCAAATGTAATGCAACCAATTTCAACATTTCCAATTTGATATGACTTCAAAATTTACAGGGTTTGACCAAGACGCTTTCAATTTAATACGGTTACCTACATTTACATACTACATTTATCATTCAAGGCCTGAATAAATTTCTTAATTACTCTTACAAAATTGAAAAAAACTTATCTTAAAATAGAACTTTTGTTTATGTATAACTGTTCCCAAAATTTCAGTAATCTAGAATGCTTTGCACAAAAGTTTTGTTCTCTTCAGATTCTATGTTCCAATGACTTGGGAACTGTTTTTTTTTGGTATATCCAGTGGTGGGATTCAGCCGGTTCGCACCGGTTCTATAGAAGCGTCTCACAGAATTTTATGAGATCAGCAAACCGGTTAGCATTACTGGTTACTGTCAATGTTCTGTTTGTAACAGAACCCCGGCTGAAAAATATGACTTTTGTGAAGGAACCGGCTGACAAAAAATTTGAATCCCACCACTGGGTATATCGTTCTGTAAACATAATATAACGTTTTGCAAAAATTTATGTTTTCTCTATTATTATATGTTCCAAATGACCTGGGTTTTGAGAAATTGACCACATCAGTTATAATTCAGTCATTTACTAAGAATATCAATGATAACAATAATTCTCACAAAAAAACAATTCTTAATCCACCAATTCAAAGAAGAAAATATGTAACAAAATAATAAAAACAGCCCCAAGCACTTTATTTGGTCATTTTTGCTTTGTCGTATATTTTACTATGAAGTATTATTGCTTTGCTTTCTATTCTCAGTAAAGAGCAATGTGAGCTTCATTGTATTATTTTAAGAAATAGTAATGAGGTAATCACCAAATTATATATGTATACATCAAGGGAGGATACCAAATAATTATTTATCAAAAGGCAATATAAGAAATAAAAAATATGTGGCCAAAATAGATACATAGTACAATTCTTCTATCATATGGCTAAAATGAGCCATCCCCAAGTCTAGCTTCTCAGACAAAGCAAGATATAACATAATCGAACAGTGAATAATAACAAATGTTAAATTGCTTAAAACCTTATGCTTAAGTCCCATTTTCAAAAATGGGACTTCTTTCATCTTCTGTCATCATGGACCTTGAGCCATTTTTTGGCTTGAATATTAGTGAAACCTGATTTCCCCGAAATCGTAAAATGTGACATAAACTAATTGTGTTCTGCTGCAGCAACATATTCTGCAAACTACGGTAGGCCTACTTATCAAAAACTACCAAAACCTTATCGTACCAATATGTAATTAATCATCATTAGAGTCAATATAAAGTAACGAAAAATGCAAACAATTTGAAATCTTGCACTGATAAATTGTAAGATACAAAATAATTATGATAAATGTGAATATGTTAACTGATTACTGCAATGTGAATTCTGATAAATTAGATTCTGATTATTCTTAGTATTTGTCACATTGTGTCTCCTGTCACACAATTATGTTGAATATATAGGGAATTGATTCGAATATTTCATTTGGTTCTGGACTGATTTGAAAACTCTAATACAAACCAAAATCAAATAAAAGCTCTTTACCACACAAATTGCTAACAACAATATTTGAAGATAACTGTGGATATCAAACATCACAGAAAACAAAAAAAATTGATAAGTACCGAGATTCATTGCGATACTTGAGAACCTCCCATTGTTAAAACACAATGGTCATTATGACAACAGGAATGTAGACCGACAATAACCAACAGTTGAAAGGAATTTTTTAAATCAATTAGAATAAGAAATCCTGCTTTATGTCAACGAATCAAATAGTAAAAATAATCAAATTAGTTATACCCATTTACTCATCCCATTTTCAATTTAGGCATCGAGACAATTTTTTTGAACAAACTTGCATAAAAATCAATCAAATTTGAAAATTTAACATTTTGCACAGAGCAGATTCACAATCCTATTAAATTATATAATTTTGCCTCTTTAATTCTTCAAAACAAAATTACTATGAATGTTTCTCAATCACTAGCAGCCATTGATCCACTCAAAGTACTTTGAAGTGTTCTAAATTTATAAGCATAATATAAAGAAATGTATGCGGAAGTCAAGTGCCCAGTCAAAACGCTAGACAAAAGGAAATCCACTTTGACATACTTTGTAATAATATTCTTATTTTGACCAGACATTCTGGCACTGCTGGCAAAACCATAGATTTATGAAACACAGAGTGAGAGTAGAGCATTCAACAAGAGCATTCTGTGATAGCATTGAATGAATTTGTTGGTACTTCAGAAGTATGTAAACCAAGATGGCGAACACCGGAACGTAGTATGTGTACTAGGTTGGGGTCAGGCCATAATTTCAGATACAAATGCTACGGGAGTCACTTGGCTAGTCCCCGAACTAATAATGGAACTGAAATGGAGAAAATTGGAATAAAATTATAGCCTAACCCTAACCTGGTACACATACTAAGTTCTGGTGTCCGCCATCTTGGTTCACATACTACGAGAGCCCCAAATTTTCTTTATAAGACAAATTTATATGCATTTCATTCAGAACAGGCTCTGTACAAATAGCCACTGCTAGTTATCATAACAGGAAAGGATCGCCATTCCCTACCCGATATATAACACCCTACTGTTGGGAACTCGAACCAAAGATTAGAACCTGCAATGCCATCGAAAGTCATCATAACTTAAAATCAAACGCTTAAGCTACTTGGCCACCATGCCTATGTATTACAAAATATATTATTAATGACCTAACTAAGAGGCTTACCGTGGTTATTCCATATAAGTACACAATAAAGTACTTCTAGGAATAAAATAAAAAAATTATGATTAGGAAAAGGACTCACGAATTTTCCCAATCCTTTGTAAATCAGACAAATGTTGCAAAGCGTCCAGATATCTTTTGTCTTTATAATCCCACCAATGAAACTGTAGGCCGTCTAATTGCTTGACTTGCATTCGTAACATTGACTTCGTTATCGCTGACTCGACCACATTCCGAGTCATTGGACCTGCACTCGGGACCATTTTCGTAAACGCTTGCACGGAATTCTTTGGATGAAACGAATGACGCTGAAAATAGTGTCAGGAAAGTTTTAGTCAAAAATGTCTTTTGATAAAAAAATGATTTTCTAGAATTATAAGTCCTATAATTAAATAGACAACAATTTGGTTTTTGAAATTTGATCCAGAACTAAAAAAGGGGGTTGTGAAGCTGATAAGACGACCTGAATCATATGGGAACCACGGTCTCTCATCTGGTGACCTGTCCATGTCGGGTTTGAAATTAGTTAGCCAGTTATTTGTTTTCGGAAGCATGGACTTAATGGTGTAGGAAGCCATAGCTGACCAGCAGTTACATGAACCACCCTACGGCAGCGAGGAACCTGCGAGCCCTAGTAGTGTAATCAAAGGTGTAGCACGATGTGCCACACCGCCGGGCCGATTTATATATTGAAATAATAGATTTAAAATGCATTCATTTTGGTATTGGTTTTGGTAATGACCGGCATATGACGGTACGACCAAGGGTCGTGGAAGTCAGCAAGATTCCCAGATTCACACAATAATCAACGAGAATAAGTACAGCATAGTCAAAAGCAATTGTTTTTTTACAAAGCAGATATGCACAAAAGTTTTGCTTTCCATATTATAGGCCCTACTGAGTATATATAAAAACGTATATAATCAATAGTCGTATATACAACTTCATCCTATTCCTTTTTCCTGTTTCTGCCAAACCTGTTTCAAATTTCCATGTTATTTATCAAAATCATATTGCATAAGATGTAGAGTAATTATGATGATGATACAGTAATTGAAATAATACGGTTTCTACAGCCGTATAGACAGCTTCAACTAATTCCTTTTTAATTCCTCAGTAATTATAGGGTTCTCGAAAACTAGACAGTGTCGATAATGAAACTTAAAAATGTTGGTAGTGCAGTTATCAGCAGATTCACCGTTATACTTAAATAAAGTACTTTGAAACTCTGCAGGCATTTAATGGGAGCTTTAATTGAGAAAAATCCTAAAAAAATGCATCTTATCTGGATATTGCATTATATTTTATCGCCTGATTTCATCATTTCGTTATCCATTTGTTGTATTTTACCTATTACTTAACTAGGTACTGCAATTAATAATTCATCACAATTGATTTAAATTATTATCAGATTTTTATTCGAAGTGATTCAACGATTCAATGATTTCAAATTTTTGTTGATAAAAACTATTTTTCTTAACTTAAATTTTCAACAACCGAAGACTAATTCCCCGGATACAGTCAGACTGTGACATTTTTCAGACGAAAATATATTTTAACGTTGCCACATAAACCAGTTATGTGATTAGTGAAAAATACAGACAAAGGTATTTTTATTTAGTTAAATTTAACTTTTAGAAATAAGTCCTATTCTAATTTGAATGGCAAATAAGGGAAGTATAGTACTTTCCACTATCTTATCAAGGGAGGTCTATATAGGTATAAATATATATATAAGTACCGTACATGTACATAGTATATATTAACCTTTTTTAATAATGTGCCATACTGTGTGGGACATTGCCACATACACCAGTAATATAGACAGAGGTGTTTCATCTCGCTAGTCTTCTTCATGTTTCAAAAATAAGCCCAATTTGTATGGCTATTGAGGAAAAGTGAAAAATGCTTTATTAAACTAACATAAAAACCCTAAAGAGTATAAGCACATGACTCCCCTATTGTAGAATATATATTTGCCATTTCTTAATATTAGCTCCTTCTATACCAGTATACCGTATAAATCATCTAAAGCCTTGTACCGAGTGAGTGAAGGCGTGAAAAGGGCTCTTAATTAATAGAGGTTTCTTTTGTGTAATGCAGTCAGATTGAATAATAAAAAATGCTGACAAATGTGCATACTTCAGCTTCCTATTTGAAAAATTTTCCGCAAATATATTATTACTACTATGCACAAATATGACAAGCAATAAAGGTAACAAATAATGTAAAATACCATTCTCTAGAAACAGAAAAAATTTATAGGCCTATATCAAAAGTCAGTCAATTTCTGTACACTTACATTTTTAATAAAATTGCCAAAAATAATTTCTGCAGGTCCGTAGATATCAGCCATGTCAAAAGTGGTATATCCTGCTTCGCAGTATTTATGCATTGCGTTCACTGAAAAAAAATGAGAGTACCAGACAATGAATCTTGGTATACAAAATCTTTGAGCTAATTATATAATTTATAACTTCTTAATCATATTTAAATGAGTGATAAGGTGACAAAAAAAAACTAAAACTTTTAAGCTGTGTCCCCTTTGTGAAATTTGTCTCGTGCCTTAAGTCAGAAACAACTAGCTAACAATAAGATACAAATAACAGACTGTAAGGCGCAAGTATGTTTAATTTAAATACACATTGAAAATATGTGGATGGAATCACAATCTCTGAACAATGAAGAAATGCAAATACGACAGGTAAGATCAAATCTAACAAATATTTTTTATTTTAATTATCTTCACGTCCCCTCAAAAAATCATCTACGCCCCCCCCCCCCGAACCTCTGAATTAGTCAGTTTATATTATTCCGATAACTATAGCTTCAAAATTCAATCACACTTTCACAAATGTTATTCTGTAATTTTGGTCTGACGAAATAGACTTCCTATTGAATGCATAAAACTCTCAAAAAGCAGAAGAAAAAATAACTAAAATAACAGAAAAAACTTACCAGCCTTATTTGGATCAATGTCTCCATGTGCACCGGAAACTTGCCACATTCCATTAATGAGTCTTGAAATAACTAATCCATTCTTAAGCCTGACTTGTGGCATAGGAGGTAATTTACGAATAATAGGTGGACTGGCATCCATTGTTAATAGAGAATAATTCTATTTTAACTAGGATAATTTGTTCTGAAAAAATACACAAATGTGGTCAACTAAAATATACACGAATCAGAACAGTGTTGAAAATATAAATCATAAATGTTAGAACATAAAATTATAAGTGAGTGGGACACCGACAATTAATAGAACTCTTCGATAAGATTATTGACTCAAAATTGGATAATTTATTATAAAAATTTTCAACCCAAAACGACAAAAACGGCAAACGGTGTACACTGTTTCAAATTCTGAATAGATATCATCTTAAATATAGCACCTTTTATTTTGTAATATTTCCAATAGCTTTCAACGTTCAACATTCGCTGTTTTAGCCTTCCAAGCTAAAATGGGTGTTTTGTACACTTTCAAATATTCCAAAGCAAATATGCTTATACATAAATAGATGAATTTAAAACAAATTTGACATAATGGAACAGTTTCAGAAGTTCGTCATTGGAAATTATAGAAAACTGTGAAGCGAAAAAATAAAACAGTGGAGAGGACGAATTTTTAAAAGCAGATGTGCTAAAATAATGAAATGACTTCAATAAAAATTACGGAATTTGAGATATTAAGGACACATAGACATTGCGGGTCCTATCTACAATTTGTTACCAATGCAGAAAAATAAAAACAGTGTGTTTATGTTATTTGAATGTACAAGAATATGAAACAGTCAATTGTATGGAACTTTTTGAAATTATAAGAATGTAGTTCTATCCGTTTTGCAGCATACAGTACAAAATAAACCCCTTCAACATAAAAAAATTAAAATTGTACAATTATTTATTATAATACAACATCAATAATGTATAAATAATTATCCAAGACTTGGGCATTCTGGGCTCAAGAAATTTCTTGGCATCACCATTCCTGCTTGCTTTTCGACGTCATCTTTGAGATGAGCAAGAACAGAATCTATTTGAGCTTGCGAAATTTCGCGGCTGAGACTTGCAAGGTACTTAAAGAGAGTGGTGAAACTATCGAATGAAATTCTGCAGGCGCCACCATCAGGATCATCTGTCAAGATTTGACATACGATTCTCATAGCTTGGGTTACGCTTTTTCCTCCAAGATGGCTGCATGCAACTGCGAAGAATTTCAAGAATTCCATCTCTTCAACGAAATTTCCAGCACTCATTATCTCTTGTAGTTGTTCTTTAGGAAGGCCGAGTTCTTTCCACTTTTGTTCCAGGAGTTCAGACCCGATCATGTCCTTTTCGTGGAGTTGTTGATATAATATGTCGAGTAGGCCAATTGTTAATCCAGTCGCGCCTGGCTCCAAACGTCGTTTCACAGGGAGTGCTTCTCCTCTGGAAAGAGCAGAAAAGTATGCTGCCGACCATGAAAGTACGTCGGGAGGTTGGGTTCTGATTGCGGCTTTAGTAAATTGCTTTAAAATATCCGGTAGCTCAGGTGGAACATTAATTTGCTCAGCACAATACATATTTTCTGGAGGAGGCATCTTAATTCTAATTCACAATACAATATATTTTACTTATATACAAGTTTTCAGCTGTGAAGTTTAAAAACCAAATTCTTATTTCTGTAATTCGCAAAGAACCAGGCTCTAAATTTCAATTTTTACTACCTTGAGCAATTTAAAAACTGGCACCTAAATAAATCAAGACTACTTTGGCATTATATCACTGCATTCAAAATTCTAATCTGTAAATACCTAGCCAACTTCTAGTAAACGGAAGACAGGGCAACCATGTTTAAACATTACTCATGCTGTACTGAATTCTAAATGCCAGAGAACTACTACATTATCTGACAAGCGTTATATACTAAAGTTCCGGTTGAAACATTAACCCCAGAGCCCAGACTACCACAATGTAAATATTTTATGAGGGTTGTGAGGCTGATGGTTATGTCGGCGTTTTAAAACAGGGTTACGAGAAATCGGCCTTGGTTACGAGGCCGAGTAACCTTAAAAGAATAATTCAATAATCCCTTACTGCGCTAATATTTCTGAATTTAGACAAGGTCATTTTATAATAATACGTAAAGCGATATAACAAGCTAAACGAAAAAGTGACGCCGACCCCACCGTCAAGAAAAGACGAGCTTCGCGCACAGGCAAGTCCCGCGAGTTATCAGGGTGACCATGACAACCGTTGAATTGGTGTCTGCGGGTCGAATAAAAACGATATAATTTGGGAACACTCGTATCAAATCTATTGCACAGTTTCTGGACGTTCATTTTATTTAAACGGATATCTTCTGAATGAAATTATATGTAAAATACAATCGCTTCCGGCATTGACGACTTCACGCGGATGCGCACACCAAACCTGTCTTTCGAGAGACTAATGAAATTCTTTCTACACGCTACAGCTATGCTTATCGAGACACGTTTGCCGTGTACGACGGTTTTAAACGGACTTTGACCTCATTTACACACAAGTGCACTTGTTTCTATTTTCGTCGCTCGTATGGAATGACTGAATAAACGCCGTCGATGGCTCATGGCTCAGCACTGAGCAGGTACTGAGTAACTATGTGTTTAAAATACAACGTCGTTGTATGACGGCTGACAGATCGATAGGTAATTTTTTTTTCTTTTTGAACGCAGCGGTACAAAACAACAACGACATACAATGTATGTTTATTTGCCTCAAATTTGTAAGAGTATCTGCACAATAATTACACAGTATAACAAAACAGACACACGTAGCGAAATTGGGAATGTTGTTAAAACTTCAAATGAGGTTTGCGCTTAAGATATTCTCACAGAACGCTACTGACCGACATACCATTTTAAAATCATAATTAAACATATTTTTTTAATGAAGTACTTGAATTTGAAAATCCTATCTATTAGGCTCACAACCAACTTAAAAGTAGTATGAAATGTCTGTTATTAATACTACATACCTGTTGCATTTAAGCGCTCTGGAGAACGTTCGAAATATTATATTAGCTCTTCTTTAGCAATCAATATACATAGGCAAGCATCGGGGTTGAAATAGCTTTGTACTTAACGAGAAATCGCGCAAATTCGTGATATTCACAGTCGCACACAGGCTCGTGTTCCCCCATTTTATTATCCGCACGAGAAATAATCCAAAAAAAGCTTGCGTCTGGTAACAATTTCTGCGGCGATGTCCTTGATTCGCTATCAGTAGCGTTCGTTAATACCACCGCCAAACGGTATTGCTCCTAAAGATCCCCGCGAACTGCCAAAGCACTGAGTTAATCAGTATGCATAGTTTTTTTTAAATCGAAATGGAATGACCCATTCCATTCCATGGCAACAATCCCCGTTAACTAGGGTGACCATATTTCCAAATCCTAAAAGGAGGACACATCGTTTGGTAGAACCATCGATATCTTAACATTAGTAGAACCTTATTTCACATGTGCCTGAGATTATACATCTACTAAATTCTCTAGGACTAAATATAGAGGTGACGAAAATGAAATAATGCATTTTTGCCTTTATTGAAAAAACATCTACAGAAGAATCAATTTATTTGTCCTTAGATCATGAGTATTTGGCTTTTCCTTTAATCTTTGTCAACATTGCCGCGTAATTTTTTGCAATATCGTAAAAATGGCTTGAAGTCTACGCAATTCAGATTTGGGATTGTATGAATATTTGTTTCTTTCTTCAATCGTAAATTTAACAGCATTAAGACAAGCTTTGATTTTGATAATGAAAGCCCCTGAATGATCACTATCCCTTATTTGTTCATTAAACACAGCAAGAAACGACTGCAAATGTTCAACGTGCAACTGTAAGCTGAGCTTGTCTTCATTCGCCAGTAGCAAGTACCGTAGCGTAGCCGCAAGTAATGCACTCCATTTCGCTATCAGTTCGACCTTTTCTAAATCATGGATACTCTTGCTTTGGTTCCTGGGTAAAAAAGGCTTTTACTGAAGTTACTGATGTAATTTATTGCCGAAATCGAAATTTTACCATTGCAAAATATAAGGTGAAATGACGTAAAACATAATTGCAGAACAATCCACTTTTTACGTCATAAACGAGTATGTATAACAATTAGCGTATGCATTTAATCTAGACTCCTAGTAGAGTAACCCCGTATGATATGATATCACAACGCAATTTATTGCTTATCGTATGTCTAATGATAATTACAAGTCTCTACTTGGTTTAAAATTTTCTTAACACATAGAAAACGGTAGATTATATCATAACAGAATTTTAGATATTTAATCCCTTGAAAAAGGAGGACATTTTGACGTTTCAGAGCGTCCTCGGAGGACATAAATTTTTTAACGAAAAAGTAGGACAAATCCTCCAAAAGGAGGATGTATGGTCACCCTACCGTTAACTGCAAAGACACCGAGTCAATCAGTATGCATAGTTTTTTTTTTTAAATCGAAATGAAATGGCAACGATCCCCAAGCATAGTTTTTTTTAAATCACAATGGAATGGAAATGGAATTTCAGGGTAAATGAAATAGCGAAAAAACAAATCATCTCGAAATGACACCTCTGAAAGGATGAATCCTAACTATAATAATGCCTCGTTGTATATGACGTAAACAAAGATATATTTAAAAGGTAGACAACACCAATAATGACTAAAAAGTAATCTGCATAGTGCATAAGCAATTGTAAAAGACATATAAAAAAATGAAAAATAGGAAGAACTTTAATGTATATACAAAAAATGTTTGATCAGTTACAACAATGTTTTCGTAGTTCAGATTTTCTAATTTGTGAACCACATTCCTCACGACTGGTATGAGAATCCCAATAGTCCATCCAGAGTCAAACGAGTTTACTCCGCCTCAACACCCCCGTACAGTTCCTATAACAGTAGAAATTAATATCGCCAGCGTTTCCGCGGCACCATATGGTTCAGTCAGCGCAGTGCAGAGGTCCCTCAAATTACATCCAAATCCTAGCGTCTGTATTATCATTTTATATTGTTCAAATATAGGCTAATCAAATACCGGACCTCCTGAAGTATGCGCACCAAGATGGCGCAGGTTGGGGTTCAGGTTATGCGACATCTTGGTGCGCATACTTCAGGAGTACCCACATACCTGTTTGGCTTGCCAAATCTTTCAGATTGAAGATAATTTTGTTTTGTCAGCATAGATTTGTTTAAATAAATATTTATGTTTAATTCGGGAAGTAAAAATAAATTTGAATATTGCAACGGTTCTTCGAGTCTAACGGGTGTTTCTTTGGGATTCCGATAAAAAGGTTGAAAACCACTGGCACTGTTTGTTGCACTTGAATTACATAAGATCCCAGTATATTTCATACAGCTTCTTCGGCTATGTCGCCATCAGGAGTAGCCTGTTCGGCTTCTTGGTTATTGTTTTTACAAAGCGGCAGGCACGGAAGAAATCTTTCTCTCCAGTCGGCAAAACAAAATAGAATGCATGATATGTTTACCAATGCACCAAAAGAATGAAATGATAGATTCGCTCCGATTACAATGACAACTACAAGTATATCTGATAGCAAGGATACAATCGTCGCTGCGATTGCTCTTTTCATAAGGTGTCTGAGATCATCGGAGAATCTTTCATTTTGTCGAAGATATCTTAATCTACGTTTATGTCTAATTAACGGGATTAAAAATAAAACAAGCAATGCTATTTGTATTTCAAGTTGAGCTCCCAGTATCACTGAAAAAGCCGACAGCATGACTTCAGCAGAGAATAGAAGTCGGAGGGATATTGCTAATACGGTTGTACCAATGCGGAATACAACTATAAAACATCCTTGAAAATATCTGAACCTTCTTAAATGCTTGGATGAGAGGCGTTTCACCGTGGGTTCCTTGTAAAACAATGTTTGTCGAAGCCATAATACCATGTCGAGCATCGTTGCAACTATCGTGAACAGTAGGATAGAAACGTTTGCTAATGTTTTGCAGTTAGACTCCACAATAGGATCAGTAATAAAACTACATCCGACCACGCTAATTTCCATGTTATCGGGCACAACGGCCAGCTTGTAGGCAATCAAGGCACAAGAACAGACAGCCGCGGCAACTCCAAATACCCCAGCGATGATAAGAGTTGCATTCATACTAAAGCGCAGATTTGCTGGTTTGAAAACCTCTTTCAAGCTTCCACTCCATGTTTTATAAATGCCTTTCCTCACGAAGACCACGATTTGACAGACCGTGATATGAAACACCAGTACGACAATCACAGAACTCATGTAGATATTGGAAATTAGCAAATTTAAATTATTAATATATTCTGACATCACGGTTGCCTTGTTATTACTAAAAATCTCAACAAATACCTTGAGCTATTTTTTAGCTGAAACATCAAAATTTATATTGTTATATTTGTATCTGGCCCTCCTGTATTGAAGGTTGCATACCCCTGGTCTACCCAACTTATTACACCCTAGAGGAACTTTGAGGAACTCCATCAAATACTCTGTTGATTTAAAAATTACCGATTTCATTCTGGAATCATGGGATATCCGTCTTTGGCCTAAAATAACTGGTGCTCCAAGAAGTATTGTCGCACAACCTGATAACCCTAACCTGGTACACATATGTTCAGGTTGTGTGCACATACCATCTTGGTGCACATACTTCGGGAGCACCAAATAACTACCGGT